AACCCGCGGGCTCAGGCAATCCACTCATCTCAGCCTCCCAAGGTGCGGGATTACAGGCTGAGCCACCGAGCCCGGCTGACTACCTCTTAATGAATGCATTTCCTTTAATCATTCAACTCCTTCCACTTTGGTCTTTGAGATTTTTTTGAACACCTCAGGTATCTTCTGCTTCAGTTCTAACTGTTTGCTCATCCTCTCTTAAGGATACTTTTCTCAGAAACTAGAGCAGCCCAGTGTTCACTCAATTTAAGGCTTTGATCAAATATCACCTCCTCAAAGATGTATCTACAGCTGACCCTGACAAACATTTCTAAAATAGCTCTTCTTACTCTCTCCACTTCATTTAATTAATTAATTAATTTCATAACATCCATCACTATCTGTCATTAGATATTTACAATGTTCTCTCCCTCCCCCATAAATGAATGTACATAAAGGCAGATAATTTGTTATTTTCATAGTTTAAGAACTGACTCCCAGCCGGGCTCGGTGGCTCAGCCTGTAATCCTGCGCCTTTGGGAGGCTGAGGTGAGTGAATTGCTTGAGCCCACGGGTTCGAGACCTGCCTGGGCAGGGGAGACCTCATCTCTACAATACATTAAAAAAAAAAAAAAATTAGCAGGGCGTGGTAGCGTGCGCCTGTAGTTCCAGCTACTTGGAAGGCTGAGGCGGAAGGATCGTCGGAGCCCAGCAGGTCTAGGCTGCGGTGGCCGGGAGCGGCTACTGCACTCCAGTCTGGGCAACAGTGAGACTCCAACTGAAAAAAAAAAAAAAAAAAAAAAAGAACTGACTCCCTATAGTTTATGATTAAAGCACATCATGCTAATTTAATTACCAAATACAGACGTCTTTGTCTGATATCTTTATTTTAAGGTCCTTTGTTTGTTTGTTTGTTTTTTCAGTCAGAGTCTCACTCTGTCACCCAGGCTGGAGTGCAGTGGCAAACTGAACGGCCACCGCAGCCTGGACCTGCTGAGTTCATACAATTCTTCTGCCTCAGCCTTCCAAGTAGCTGCAACTACAGGCACGTGCCACCACGCCTGGCTAATTTTTTGATTTACTGTAGAGATGAGGTCTCACCAAGCTGTCCAAGCGGATCTCAAACCCCATGGGCTCAGGCAATCCTCTCATCTTGGCTTCCCAAAGTGCTGGGATTATAGGCATGAGCCACCATGCCCGTCCTTATTTTAGGGTTTAAAGAAATACCAAATATGAGTCATTTGTTTGTGAGATCCAGACAACAGTGACCTAGTTGCTCAGTGTATTCCAGAAAGAGAAACTGATGAATGCGTAGTTCCTTAGTCTAGACACTGGTCTGTTGTCCACAACAAGTCACAGTATGTAAGCATGCAGTGGTAATACAAGATGTGTACATCTTAATTTCTTTTTTCCAAGAGGTGAAATAGGTACATGACCGTATTTAAATTGATCCAGGCAACTCTGCGTCAGAATTTCCATGTATACATGATGAAGCCAAAGAAGACAAGTGTAAACTATATTGCTTTATTTGAGACAAAAATGATAGCAAAAAATTACAGATAGAAGGATCCAGTCCTGAAATAGAAAAATGTATCCAAAACCTCTTCCACGTTTTCAAACACATGATGAGAATATTTCAAGATAACAAGGCAGAGAAAACTATTTGGAGTTAGTTTATAACTATCTCCTTTCCATTTCCTAGAATATTATGGAGTTTGAAAGTGCTATTTCAGCAGCTGGAAAACTTTAAGCAAGAATATGCTCCTAATCCAAGAGTGACATTGCTGACAACCTTGTTTTTGATGTTAACTCTAAAAATAAGTGTTCCTTTATTTTGATACATTAATAATTGTCTGTAATATGTTGTTATTAATATATTATGCATTTCATCTTTAATTTTGTTAAACTTATGCCTTTTCCTTGACATTTTGAAAAATATATTTTAAAACTTCTATTTAAAGTATAGTAAATATTAAGTTTTACTGATTTTCATTTAAATTTATAAATTCACTAACTTTGAAAATAAATAGCTGGTATAAATACCAGTACTTCTGGATTACACAGACTATCAAAATGCTGGTGATTGACATTGTTCTGGTATTGCTGTCATGATTCTGACATTAAAATCGGTTTTATATATTCCATAGATCATTTAGCAAAGTTTGGGGTACTATGTCCAAGAAATACAGATAACTAACCAATACATATTTACATTATTGAAAAAATGCAATGCAATACTAAAAAGACACAAGTAAGTTGTAGGAAATCTTTTCAGTAAGATAAAAGAGAAGGAATAAAAGTATGTTTTCTTGTCTCTTAGCTTTTCCATCAGAAGATTTTATTTTCATGGTCTTTGTATTCTTCCTTTTCATGCCTCTTCTAAGATCTTCTCTGCTTTTTTACTTAGTATCTTCTTTTTTACCACTAGAATCACACTTTAAACATTCATGAGGTTCTGCATACCCTTTACTCTCAGTTGGGATAGTTTTGCGTATATCAAAAAAAAAAAAAAATCATACACTAGATATTCCAGAAATGTGATAATCTGAAAGATATTTCTTCTCTCTCCATGTTTAAAACAATTGACCTCTGATTAAAATGGCTACTGGACACTAAGGTCGCTAAAATGAGTTAGGTCTTAGCCTTTCTAACCATTTCAACAGAAGCAATTAATGCACTTTTGTAAAAGGATTTCCTAAAAGGTCCATGTGCCCCAGTTTCCTTTTACGTTTGTTTTGCTTTTGCAGTCTCTGTTCTGCATTCCTAAATGTCAAGAATACTATCCTAACTTTCTCTTTTCTTTACAGCATGTCATTTTCCTTATTGATGAGATTTGGAAAATTCTATTAAGTTTCAAGCCATCAGTGGGAATGGAGGGTTGGGAGAATGATTTTCTAAAACAAAACAGGAAGATTTTCATACTGTGGGTTTCCTCTATCTTTGAGCTAAACCTCCCTGGGTCGTGTGTGGCAGATAGCATTTTGTGGCCTCTTATATATTTGTGGCCTCTTACATATATTTTGTGGTCGTGTGTGGCAGATAGCATTTTGTGACCTAGTATATAGTAAGAATGCAAATTCTTTGGCCCAATTTTTTTTCAGGATCAGTGAAACATGCTTTATTTGAAAACACTTTCTCAGAGTTACTGCTGCCCATATTCATTCAACAACCTGTTGGTCTGATTCTTGTTAAAGGCTGAATATTGGTTATTCATTTAATTCATAGCCCTGATCTTTTTCTTTGGAAACCACACACGTCCTCAATTGTTCTGGGCCGATCTAATCTACTCCAACTCAAAAGAAAAATTGAAACATAATAGCCACACTCACCAAAGTTTTGGGATATTCTAACGTTTTCTTCTTCCCCTTTCTTCCCCTATACCTTTTCCCTTTGTAGGAAGGGATGGGAATGGCCCTTTACAATAAGGTCATTTCGAGAGTGATTTATGAGTCTCTAGACAGCTCCTTAGAATGACAGATGTAAGGTAAATAGATCTTAATATATACGAAGTAGCAGAGTATAATACACTTAAAGTTAGGTCAAAGTTAATTTTATTAACAGCACTAAAATCTGTTCTATTATAAAGCAACTAAATGTAACTTCTATGAGTATGTTTCCTCATTTATAACATAGTGATAATGATATATACCATAACTTATAAGAATTGAATTGAATATCATAATAATATATATCACAGCTTATAAGAACTGAATGATATAATAAGAAAATTGCATGAAAATAATTAGTCTAGTGGCTGGCACATCGTAGGTGCTGAAAATATTTATGGTTATATCTAATATAAATCAGGGAATAATTCAATTCTTCAAGGTGAAAATGCAAGTTATGTGCCTTGAACCACAGGAAAGACAAATTACTAAAGCATTTTATTGATGTTATTTCCATTAAACTGTGCCAACATGGCCTTTGGTCCCTTCTTTTGTGAAATTATTTTGTGTTCTTATGAGAACTTTAAAATAATTAATTCACTTTAATAATAAATCAGCTTGCAACAATTTAAAATCTCTTGTGTTTACATTAAGAAGAAAACATACTCTTTTATGTGGTGCCCCATTTATTTAATAATAGAAAGTTTTTCAAATGTGATTTCAAGTACAGGAATATTTCTCACAAATTAATGAGAGTGAGGGCAAAGGAAGCCAGAACACCAGTGTATGTTTTCAGCAACTTAGAGATTGAAGCTAATAAGCTATTGTAGACTGCAATGCAGATAGCTTTCTTGAAAAATAAAGATTTTTAAAAATTGTATAAATTATGGCTAATAGGCAAAAAGTCCTATAAGTAGCCCAACTATATTACTAGACTATTATTGTCCACTGAAACTTTCTACAGTATGTGTCAAATTCATGTGTTCATCATTAACTTCTGTTAATACCTTATCAGTATGTAGTGGCTCTACTAAGCATTAAGAATCTAATTTTTTTTTTAACATTTCAGTAATGATCTCATTTATTCTAGTAGTTTTTAAAACCTATATTTTATTGTTAAATATCAGTTTGGGCTAAAGTTGATTTTAGTCTTAAATTTCCAAACGATATTATTAAGATCATTCAATGAAAATGTAGTTTACTCTAATTCTCCCCAGATAAATAAATCTGTTCTTCCTGGCTAAGAATACAGGTATACAGGGAAAAAGTAACAGTTGAAAATATTCTGTAGTAGCATACATTGTATATAACTTAAACGAAGTATTATTACCTTTGGAAGATTATTAAAAACTTTTTTGAAAATATTTACATTCAATTTTTCTAATTTACACTGGTGTTTACAGTTGTATGCCAGGATTTCCTGGAAAAAACTGTGAGAAAGTAATTGACCACTGCAGACTGCTCAGCGTCAACTGTCTGAATGAAGGATGGTGTTTCAATATAATTGGAAGAATCAGAGTAAGTAATTTAATACATGACAACATAATTTAGCACTTCAAAAGACAATAGGTTCAGTCAGTCTGTATTTCAAATGTTTTTATTTGGCTTAGCCAGATAAATACATCCTTATATGTATATTTAAAATGACGTATGTAAAGCTTAGTAATAGGGATTTTAACTTGTAAGAATTATGTTGGAAGGGAATGAATAAGTGTTCTAGACAGTGTTTTTAATATAAATGAAGCTAATTGAGATGTGGTGATATATGTCTTTGCATGTAAAGCCCCAGTTACTAATGCATTAAGCTCTAAACTAGATGAAAATAAAATCAGTCTAGTGATTGTCAGGTTATGCAAAATCTGTGTTTTTTTAATTAGAAGATAGTTTTTGAAATTACTTTACAGATATAGAATGAGTGTACCATACATGGCAAGGAATATTCTGCAATCCAGCAATTCTACTTCTAGGTTAAGTAAATTGGAGAAATTATCACGTAAAATACAGAAAAACTCATAGACGGGAATTTTTATTCCAAGTCTGAAACAAACTACACCCGATGGATAGGAGAATGGTAAATTCATCATGGCATGGTTATTTCATTGAATTATAAAGACTAGTTAAAGTGAGTGAAAAATAGCTGCATGAATTAATACTTAAAAATATCAAACACAATGAATTTTAAAATTTTGTTTAAGAATAATATATGTACAAAGTGATAATAGTTACTTAAAATTTTAAAATGAATACATGCATATTTGTATTATTACATAAATATATATCAAAGGTATAAACATATATTTGAAAATTATAAATGTCAGCCTTACTAGAAAGGCTGCATATGGGACACAGTTTGGGAAGTAAAATCAGGAAGAGGACAGAGGGGCTTCCAGTGTCTCTGTAACTCTTTATTTCTATAAAAAAAAAACTTACAAATAAGGATAGTATATTGTGTTCATTTTATTATTTTCTATTTTTCTGAGCATCAATTATTTAAATAAAATATTTTAAAATAATAAAAAGCAAGTTTATGGAATGTACCATGAACAAATGTATAATATGTGTAATTTTGTAGACATATGCTGAAATATAACAATGTTATACAAGAATATGTAGATGAGAACATAACATTTGTTTGGCAGCTCCAATACTTTGACAATAATAGCATATTATTTATGATCATTACTTCATTTTCATCTCCTTATAAATTTCATTCAATTTTATTAAAACATAAAATGTCTACTGAGCTTTTTAATATTATTCCAAGTTCACAAATATCTATAAGGATGGATGAAGCTAAATTAAACCTGGTCTGTATGGCTCTGGAATCCTTATTTCAATTACTATACATATTGTGACATAGAGTAAAAACTAGCATTATCTTTCATTAAAATTTGTCTAGACTTTTATTTTAGACAACTGTCTAACTAAAACCTCTTCTACTTTGGTTTAAAATTCGCTCACATTATCTTTTTTATGTTTTGTTTTGGAGTTCCTATCTTGTCTCAGGACAGTCTCTTAGTATTTATTCTGACTTTTTGAATTCCTCTTTTCCCTGGAAAATCTCATCAATTCTGGTATTTTGATAATTGCCTATTTGTTATTGACTTTAAATTCAATTTGAATGTTTTTTAAGAGTTTGGCTGGATTTTTCACCTCTAATATTGCATAGATATTTCAGCATGTATTGAGCTGTTGTAACTCAAATTCTCTCTAGATACAAAGTTTCCCAGTCTGTATGAATGGAGTCAGTAACATCAACCTCTGCCAACTTTCTGTTATCAGAAACCTAAGAATTCTTCCACTTCCTTACCCTTCATCAGCCTGTCTTCTGTCTTCACAAGTACTTCTTAGTTCAAATATTTATTATTTTCACCCAACATTTTACCTTGAGTTACATATTAGTTAATTGATGTTTCTTTACTTCAAATATCACCAAACCGCTTCAAGATAAATCTATATAAAATGAAAAACTGGGAATGCTATATTTTATTGAAGTTTTATCTTCTAGTCTTTGAGGCTAAAGATAGAAGAGCACAATAATCATAATTCAATTAGAAGGCAGACAATATTAATACATAAGTATAGATTAGTGAGTAAGTATTCCCCAAATAGAGGAAATATTAAAGCCCAATACTTGATTATTCAAAAATACAGATAAAATTCATTAATTTCTCACAAACTCGATGAGAGTTAGAAATTGCTAGAATTATCAATATCTGAAAAGCAGTCATTGCAATAGGTTATTTAGACATAGATGGGAAATCACATAAATAAAATAGGTTTACACCTATAATTTTAACAATTTATATAAAATATGAAAATTTCTTGAAAAGGAAAAAACTAAAAGGACCTCATATATCAAATTAGTTAAACTTATAGTTAAAATTTTTTCTCCTAAGAAAACCCCCAGGTCAAATGCTTCACTTATGGTATCTATCAACATATTTAATGAAGATGTAATACTAATTATTCACATACTGTTACAGGTAATAGATGAGGAAGAAACAAATTTCAAATCATTTTTATGAGGTTGCATAGACCCTGATACTAAATTTTGACAACAATATTACAAAAAAGATTTACAGTTTAGTGTTTCTTATTAATACATATGCAAAAGTCTTTAACAAACTGATTGTGAGTTTAATTCAATAAAAACATTGCCTCAAGTCTTAGAAAGACTTTTTTTCTCAGGAACATAATAGTTTTTCATAATCCTAAAACATTTTTCACATTTTAACAGAATATAAGAGAAAAATCATATAATCATCTAACTAGGAACAAACCAAGTAATTGAAGAAATCATCACCCATTCACAACAAATTTGAGAAAAACGTCTTCAGTTCTATAAAGGTTATGTATGTTCAGAAATTTAAAGTTAATATAATGCTTTTTGATAAAAGTCTGATTTTTCCCACAAGTTGGCAAGATATTCACATTTTTCTCTTCCACATTTTTACTAAAAGTTTTTACCAACACAATGTGAAATATAAATTAATTATAATATAGGAAAAATAACAGTAAAATAATTTGTAAGTATACCACATGACTGTTCATTAGGAAGCTATAAAAATTAAAAAGTAGAACTGACAAGTTAATTTAGCAAAATCTCAGGATGGAAGATAATTATGTAGAAATTCATAAGCCAGTAATATTTCTATAATATAGCAGACAATTAATTAGAAAATGGAACTAAAAAATGAATAGCATAAAGCTGAAATTAAGCCTGATTATAAAAGTATCAAATTACTTCAGAATAAAATTAGCAAAATGTTTACAAGACCTCTCTGCTGAAAACTATGAAAGATTGCAAAAAGAAATTAAATATTTCCTGAGTAAATAGAGAATTATAATATATTTATGGACTGGAAAAGTTAATATTTTAATGATATTCTTTCTTCTTACTGATATTCCCAAATAGTTTGTAGAAATTGACAAACTGATCTTAAGTTTATATGGGACTTCAAAAGCTCTCGAATAGCCAAATAATAAAAAATAAAAGCAAATCTCTATGACTTTTCCTACCTAATTTTAAGAGTAAATTTCAAACTCAGCATCAAGGCAGTGTGATATTGGCTTAAGGATAAACTAGAAGATCAGCAAAATAAATAATGATAAAAAAGATAGTTCAAAAATAGTTTCACGGAAAATATTCTGTTGGTTTTCAACAAAAAACATCAAGATAATTTAATGGAGAAGGAAATTTCTTCTCATCAGAACACACATGGAAAAAGTGAGTCTACCTTAAACCAAACAATAATTAATTTGACATGAACTACTGTCAAATAGGGCAAAAAAGTGATTGATTTAGTGGATAAGTTTTAAAATTTCTGCCTATAGAAAGATTTTTTTTTGAAAGACAATGAAATCAGTATTCATTAAGTTAAATTTACATTAAAAGTAAACATAAGGGAGTGATGAGCCTGGAATGTGGGAGGAGAAGAGCTGCTTGGATAGACTCCAGCTTCCTTTAGCACTGCTCCCAGCCTGATCCCTGTAGATCTTTCATACTCACCCTTCTTGTTTGGGCTCTCTGTTGTTAATGAGTATCTGTGATAACTTGCAATATACGTTTTGGAGGAAATGAAAAGTTTGCATCCTGACCTCATTTCCTTCTTTGATTGAACACTAACAGTTCTGGAAATGCTTAGTCAATTGGTTTTCTTTATGTGCAAAATAAAATAAAATGCACGAATAGAAGTAAACATAGTTCAGGTGCGTATTGTTTGCATGAGATATTCGTAAATACCATGTTCTTATTGAAATAAAATGATGGAAAAACTATATTAAAGAAATACTAACTGAAAATTGTTAATGCTTATATTAGTCTTATGAAAAATTGATTTGACATAGAATCAGAAATTTTAAAATGATTTTTCAAATACTTAAAATTAAGAAATGAATAATCTTCTTTCATAGTGGAGTATATTTATTTTTTCATGCAAAACAGTATGAACATTATGTTGGCAAGGATTTTTAAAGAACTTCAACATCAATTAGTAATTTTTAAACAGAAAAGACATAAAGACATAAATTAGACTATTTTAAAATAAGGAATCTTTGGTTAAGAATGGAAAGAAAAATAAATACTGCGAATATTCAAGTTCTCTAAAAATCAATGCAATACCATGTAAGGCAACATGAATATATCATTTTATATTTTTGCATAACAGAATATAAAAGTATACATAGTAATGTACTTCTGCATAACAAAGGGAGAGTGAGAAATCATTTTCACATGTATACAGGAACAAGTATAACTTGTAATAAACCCACTAAAGGACATTTTAGCAGGATATATCTAAAATTTTTCAGTCTGTAGTAATTTAATATTTAAAAATATCTAAAGTAAATAAGCAAGATTATATTAAACATGCATATATAATATTCATTATACTTTTATATTGTTTAGAGTAAGATTAATCAAATTAAGCAACAAGAATAGCCAAAAATTATAAAGTAGATAATAGTTTACAATAATAATGTATACATATAGTAGAAGATGCATCCATTTGGAGTAT